CGTGTTCGAAATCGGCTCGTGAACAGTGTGTTCGTGTTCGGCTTGATTTAAATATTCGTGTTCATGTTCGGATCGTGTTCGGCTCGAAATTGGCTCGTTAGACTAAAATTGAGAAAAATAGATGTAGTGTGGGATTCGAACTTGAATCAAATATATACAAAAGAAGACACTAATCACATTGTCACATGAGATGTTATGATTTAAACTTAGACATAAATATATATAATATATTATTATATAAATAATATATGTAATATATTGTTATATAAAAAGTTATATATTTTTTTTTCGAGACTTTTCGAGCCGAACACGAGCGAACAAATTGTTGTTCGTGTTAGGCTCGTTAGGCTTAACGAAAGAGCCGAACACGAGCTGCTTAACGAGCCGAACTCGAGCTGTTCACGAACAACGAGTCAAATTGACAGCCCTATAAATATATATCCTTATTCTTATATGCATGTAAGTAATTATCCCTTTTAAATTATATTATTCTCTTCTTAACTTATATCACTCGAAAAATCTAAGTACTATTCCAAACATCATTACAATATCTTGATTGTTTAGTGTTTTTCTCTTGATCTAAGATGTTTTTGCTATAGCAAGCTCTGAAGATTTTGACAGTTGTTAGAAAGGTAAGAATTAATCAAACGAAATTTTAACGCATGCTTATCTTATGCTTTTTTTATGTTTAAATTTGTAGGGTATTTTTTTAATGATTTCTACAAATTTTTGTGAAGGAAATATCTACAAAAATGAGTTATTGGTCTTATTTTGATAAAATCATGACCGTTGGACTAAATGGAGTGTTAGAAGATGTTCAAATGTGGTTCAAAAAAGATTCAATTTTTTTCTTTTCAAGTAATGTTTGTACATTTTCTAATTTTGATGCCAATAAACTTGAATTTGATTTAAATAACTTTCAAACCTCTTTCAACCATTGTTAAATAAATAAATAAATAAACTTTATCTAAATATATTTGAATTTAGGTAAAATATTATTTTAAACCTTGTTCCAACCTTTATAACAATTATTTGGCTTGATTCAAACTTTATTTTGAAGTATTTTAATATTATTTTGAATAAAGTTTTAAACAAGTTTGACCTTTATTTGAGCCTCACTTGAATTGTGTTAGAACTAATAGGTAAAGTTCTAATATTTACCTTTTGAACATTTTTCTTCTAAAGACTTGCTGTAGATAAATATAAAGATGATGTATCATTGTGCTATGCCATAGCCAATTAGTTAGTTCTTCCAATGGAAATAGTTGCAAAATATGACCTTGTGTATTCCTTCAAATCATTCTATCATTTACATGTCAAATAGTAGGTAATAAACGTGTAGCAAGTTGTTGCTAATTCCACTTAAATTCTCCTAATGAAAAAGATTAAATGCTAACAATAAAATACGGCTAGGTAGGCTGCATTGCCTAATGATATATCATAAATTGATTTGAAATTAGATGTTGGTGATTAGGGGTGTGAACGAGCTGAACACAAGCGAGCCTAGGTTAAGCTCATGTTCGGCTCGTTAAAAAATATCACTGCTTGTGTTCGGCTTGTTTATATTCCAAATATAAAAATTGTGTTTGTAATCGGCTCATTTACTTAACGAGCTGTTCGCGAATAAAGAGTCGTTTTAACAACCCTAATCACGGTTGGGGCAAGATTTAAATCTTGTTATTTATATTAGAGCATCATTTAAAAATAATTTAATTTATTTTTATTCTATTTTTTTAACAATTTTAATTTATTATAAATATTTGGAGTCTTGTAGTCAATTAAGTTTTTTAAAATATAAGAGCTAAGGGGTTTCTAATATAAAAACTCTTTGATGAAGCTTATGAATTGATAGACGAAATGACCACAAACAACTTCAAATGACCATTTGATATAATTACTTTGAAGAATGTAGTAAGTGTGTAAGAGACTGATGTTCTAAATATCTTACCCTTACAGGTTGTCAACATTTCTAAGAAGTTAGAGAATTTTGAGATGAATTCTATGTTGGGATCCCTACCAAGGAATGGAATGATTTATGGATGAGTAGGATACTTGAGCACTATTGCCTGAGAGATTGTCGATGTCATAGGAAGCTAGTTCAATAATCCTTATCCCAATACCCACAACTAAGGCTGAAAAAATCATCCAAATTTTAATTGGAGCAATAAAAGTCCAGAGACATGAAATCAACAGTAAGGGAACACCCAAGCAAACCCTATAAGAAATTGGACCTATCAAGGCAATAGTGACCCAAGACATACCTGCCTATATATACTCACCTCTAAGTCAATTCACACTTTAAAGGAAAAGAAATCTTCATTAGAGGAGTTAGTGTTATATATGGGAAACCAATTATAAAGCCAAGCTACTGTCATAAGGAATGTGGAGAATCAAATTGGATAGTTAGCTAATTTGTTGAGTAATAAAACTTAAAATAACCTCTCCAATAACATGAAGTGAATCTAAGGGATGAGAATATGAAGCAGTGTAAAGATCGGAGTGAGGGTTTGTATGGAGTGGGAAGATGTCTCTAAGAAGAATACTAAACTTATAAAGCAAGATCCTGAGCCTGTAACTTATTGAAAAACTGACACCAGACTTAACAAAATCTACCTCACCTTCTGGGATAATACAAGAGAGACCACCATTACCTTTTTCTGAGATTCTCCTGAAATAAAAAATAAACCAACAATCTGCTAAGTTGTTATAGGTTTTCCGAAATATTTTTTCAATCAATATTCTATACACTAAATCTCTAGAGCAAATGTCTAGTTACATGAAGTTCATAATTGATATACTTGAGAAAAAGAGTAAACTAGAAAATTTTGAAACTGAGACCCAAACCAAGAAATGTTGTGTATTCTGTAAGCAAAAATTGCCACAGAAACTCCAGAACAAGATAACTATACTACTATGTGTGCCATTGAGGAAAAAAAAACTAGAAAAGCCCCTTACGACTTATGAGGCAGTATCAATCTCTTGCCCCTTTTTATTTGAAGAAGACTGGGATTAGGAGAAGTCCAACCCCCAAATTAACCATGCAATTATTGGATTGATCTTTAACCTAACATGGAGAAATGATAGAGGATGTTTTAATGCAGTTCGTCAAGATTATATTCATTGCTATTTTTGTTGTCTTAGGCATGAAGGAAGATAATAATATTCTAATTATACTTGATAGACCTTTTTTAGCTACCGGAAGAGTAATAATTGATGTTTAGAAGGAAAAACCTACTATGAGAGTTAACGATTAGTAGGTGATTTTTAGTGTGTTGAAATTGATGAAGTGCTCTCAAGGCTCTAGCAATTATTGATGTCATAGAGTAGATGTGGTGGAAAGGGTAACTGATAGCCAATTCTTCAAGTATTTGGAATTAGAGCCCCTATAACAAATTATGGTGGATGACTATTTTTTGTAAAAACACCAAGGAATAATCTTCTCTACTTTTTGGGGTGAACCTTAAGATTATTAATGATAGTGTTTAACTTGTGGACACCACGACCCATATCAACATGTAGAATCATCCATAGAAGGAGGTTCAAATTAAGGATTGATGAGTCCCCTTAAGCATCTTGAGTATGACTCTTTAGACAAATGTGTCACTTTGTCATTAATGATTTCTATTGACTCTAGTGAATTACAAGAAGGAATGCTTAAAAAAAGTCTTTCAAAAGGTGTTTTTAAAATTTATTATTTGATTTGACACATGACCTATCATTGTAGGCATGAGATTGAGAGATTATAGAAAATTTTGATCAAGGGTGTGGGGAGGAACATATGTATTCCAAAAGATCTGAGGTTATGACTGAGAATTGATAACTCGGGCAATTCTACTGGATAACTAAATTTTGGAAAGATTGATAAAAATTATTGAAAATGCAATTTGATCCTGAGAAGAGATTTTAAGTTTGACTTGACTGCAGGTCTATATGGGGATGTTAGACCAAGTACTACTTGGGAAACAACCAAAGCATTATCTTGTGAGTTGATTGGAGATAGATTGTGCTTTTTTCTGTAAATTTACTTTAAATTTACATTTGTGTGTTTTAGAATAGATGTTTTGGTGCTTACATGTGGTTAGACATTGCATGAGGGTTAGGAGGATGACTGTGGGGTGGAGACTTATGCTACTGAAGCCTTATGTGATCTCTTTCTTTTTGCTTTGTCATGTATACTATGGATGTGTTGATGATGTGATATGATTTTTAGTATTGGTCATTGATGTGGTGAGTTGTATATTTCATGTTATGATATTTTGGACTCATGCTATGTCTCATGAAAATTTACTTTGCATTCCATTTATCATTTTATGATGTGTTTTGTTATGATATGCTTCAGGTGTGATGTTTTATTAATATTGTTGATGTTATATTTTCTATGATATTAGACCATTAAATGTATGATATATTTCTCTTCTTGCACTTTTTCACTTGTCATGCATAAGATAAAAAATAAGTTTTGAATTGGAGTTACTATACACTTATCCTAGAGTGATACACATAACTAATCTATAAGCTCTATTATTTAAGAGCAGCTCATAAAGGAAAGTTTTGTAATTGAAAGTGGTCTAATAGTTTTAAAAGTGGGGTGAATATTTATCAAAGGGTGGGCTA